CAACTGTAAACATAATAAGTATAGGTAAAATGTAATGAAACTCTGTTTTGTGAGTGTTTTCAGCATTTAAATCTATAGTATAAACATCGAAACCAATCTGCAAGGGTATACAAACTTCGGCGTGCCGAAGTTAGCTTCCTTTCTTGTTTATATTAAAAAACTTCTTGATTTTTTTTTAATTAAAAATATCATAACTCGGCCAAAAGAGCATTAATTTTAAATCGGAAAACTGTTCTGTGCAAGATTTTCAACAGTTAATAAATCTGCGTACTTCATTTAAAAATTTTGAAAATTCAATTTTTTATCAAAATCAAAAATTTTAATGATGTAACCCCTTATAAAATTTTGCAAAAATGGCAAAAAAATCGATTTCTTCCTGGCATATCTAGAAAGATTCCCCTGTTGATGCTGATCAAGAATATATATACTTTATAGGGTCGGAAACGTCTCCTTCACTGCGTTGCAAACTTCTGACTGAAATTATAATACCCTGCAAGGGTATAAAAAGGGTGAGTGTTGCATGCAAATCTGATGAATGACCGATGTAGCTTTAATTAACAACGAAGATGGTAACTTCTTTAAGGAAAGAGAAGTATATAGGATGTAGATGATTACTTCTTTAAGGAAAGAGAAGTATATAGGATGTATTTTTCAATAAATAAAAAACAGATTACTAAAAGAATTAAGAAGTTAAGAAGTTCGAAATTATATTTACTACATATTTTTCAATGTAAATATAAATATTAAACTAATTTATTTTACCTTTTTCCTTAACTATATCATTAGTTTTATATAGTTTTCAGACTTGAAAAACCAATTAAGTTATTCCCAGTGCTTGCCAAACTGCTTACCAAACAGTTTAAAAACCACTACACCCCTCAAACTGTCCACGTCCTCCTCCTCTGCGTTGGCCTAGGCAACGGTAAGTAATACCATAATACACAACCGCAACGCCCCATGCCCCACCCGTCACTGAAATTGGCAATGCACTGACCTCGGCCACGCCCACCGCCCATTTTATTGTTATGTAGACAAGTGGACATGCGGAGAAGAGCTTTTCAATTAGCCGGGCCAGAAGAGTTGACAATATGTTGTTGATATGTCGCAGTGGAAGCGGATCCGTTGTCGTCCGTACACCTAATTACAGTATGAGAGTCGTGCCGCCTGTGTAAACATCAAGGGGGAAGGCATACGGAGAGGTTGGGGGAAAAGAGGCTAGGAGGAGCAGTCAGTCACTGGGGGAAAATATAGTAATTTTGTATGGGGAGGTAGAAGGATAATATAAAAATTATAATAATAAGTATTCATTTCATATTGATTTTAGGGGTATCTTTATACATTTTAGATAGATAATTAATCACTAATTAATTTAAATATATTTATTATTGTAATCTGAATTTATTTAATCTGAATATTTAATCACTTTTTTGCCTTTTTATTAAATTATTTAAAAAATAAGACTCCTTGCCATTTCTCTCCGTGCAGCACTTGATCTTTGGCGGCAGACATCCCCCCATCTGTGTACTATTTACTCCTTCTGGCCATTCTTCTTGGTCTTGGACCTTTGGCCATATGCACATATCGCTTACCAACGTTTCGTTTTCAGGGGGCAAATGAACTCTGCGCCATTAGGGAAATTTGAGGAGCTTGTTTGTAAGCCGGCTGTTTGTTTTTGTTGCGCGCGCGTGGTAACCTTATGGAAAATGCCCAGAGCCCCCAAGAACCCCCAAAAACCCCCAGATCCCACCTAGATCCCGCAGAGCCAAAAGATCTGCCCCCGCCGATTTGTTGACTCTCTGACTGGCCGCAAACTATTTCACAACTCCAGGCGTACCCAATATGGGATTATTCCCACCTGACTCTCCTCCAGAAATAGCCACAATAATAGCGACAATAGCGACCGAGTCACATATTGGCCAATTGCAAATATTTACCAGTATCAAAATAGCATCGATGCGATGCGCAAACTGCTCCGCATTAGAGTACAACGTATATATAGCATATAGAAGCGTAGGGCGGAGACAGAGACGCTCGACGGGTTTACTATTTGCTCAGGGCTTAGGAGCTCAACGCTTAATTACGCTCAAGTGGCGTGGAAAATTGTGGGGCGGGATTCTCAGATTTCCACCCGCCCACTCGACCCGATGACGTTTATGCCAAATTGCTTTGCTTTGTTAAACGGAGGGGTATATAGAGGGGGAGTCCTATGCAAATAACGAGCGGCATTTAATGAAACGCAATTATTTAATTTTACAGACTGCGTCACGGTTCCCACCTGGCGAATGCATATTGCAATGCTCCAACGTCGGCATCGGCATCGACATGGGCTTTGGATCATAAATAATGACTGGGCCAGTGACAAAATCCCTGGCCTGGGAAACCCAGCTAGCTCTGAAGTCTGATGCTGAAGTTTAAGCCAAAGCCAAAAGCCGAGTTTCGTTCGTGATAACTGCAATTTTCCGGCCACAACTACAGATACAATGAGTGCATAAATCATCTCCAGCTCAACTTAACTCAACTTAGCTCAGCTGCAACTCTGTGGCATTTTCCTAGCGTGCTGCTGCTGCTGCAGATTTTCCAACAACAAAAAAATAAACAACAACTAAAATGCACCGCATAAATGTCAAATGCCTGGCAGTTTGATTTGGCCGCGGGTTAAGTGTGAATTATCCCAGGGCCTCGGAACTCTCAGCACCATTTGTACGTTGTCTCATCTGCAGAATGCATTTAAGAGCTTTAAGTGCTATTATCGCATATTCGAGGCGAATGCCACAAGACACATTTTGCATTCGGATTGTGGCTGTCAGTGGCGAGCTTTGGGAATTATAATAAATGGTTATATTTTCTTTGGTGGAAAGGAGTGGGAAGAGTGTCCTCTACTAGTTGGTGGAAATAATATTTAGGAAGAGTTTTAAGAAGACTTAACCTTCTTGCATTATTTAATTAATTGTTTAACTTAACGTTTGCTATTATAATTATTTAAAAACAAGTGAACAGGTATTTTAAAATTCTGCGAGGAAACTACTTTCGGAAGGTAGTAATGAAAGTTCTTTATAAGTACATCAAAGTCCATTTACTTGAATGGGATTTTTTTGATCTTATCAATTATACTTTTTAATCACCTGATCAAAAACCTCATAATTTCACATGCCTCTGTAATTAAAGGCATTTTTTTCCATTGAGCACCAAAAAAGTGTATTCAAATATTTGCCACCTGTTCTTTATTTGTTTTATTTATCTTTCGGCTGGTACTATTTGTTTGGGAGTTAACTTCTTTGCCTGAGATTTTCAGAATAAGACTTTTCTATTTATAAATGAAATATATTTCTTGGTAATGTTTAGCCTGAATTGTGAAATAGGAAACTTATAATATACATATAGAATTTATTACTTATTAGAAATTAAAACTATTCTTTGTTCTTTAAGAGTCTTGTTAGTCATTCTCAACATTTCCGTTTTGTAAGCACTTCAAAAAGCCTTCTAATTTCAACTGACTTTCGTTTGATCCTATCATTCCACCTGACACTTACCTGACACTCACCTGGTAATCAGCTGCTTCTGCTCCAAAGTCGGCCAATTTCACCTGACAACCGGCGATCTTATCGGCCAACCATTATACATTGTTTACCCACACTTGAACTTCAATTCATTCATGGATCGCAGAACGAAAAGCAATCTAATCGATACTACGCCCCAATGGCATGGAATGCTCCTCCTATCAGTCGCGGGGGAAATACCCTGAGAGCCTGAGCCCCCAGCACGCGGAGCTGTCAAAACAAAGAAGTCGGCGCAGACAGCGCGGAATGCCAGTTGACAAATTCTAATTGGCAAAAGTTCCCGGAATTGAATCGAATCGAGGGGAATTGAGTAGTTGCCTGCGTTAAGTTAAGGTGTGCTTGATTTGATACCAGCTCGGGCAGGGGTGGCAGTATTCAAGTACCCAAGTACCCAGCACGGGTAGTAATGATGGGCCGTGTGGCGCTTCTCATGTTCCCCTTGTTAACACTTCGCCACCAACGGCAATCCATTCGAGAGGTGTTCATTTCGCCGAGGAATGTGTGAATGTAGATTGAAATTTGATTTCAATTGCAACTGTTGAGGGGCTGCGCCTTTGATGTTGCTAACATATATCAAAATGGGACTGTCTCACTATATTTATGCACTTTGGAAAATATTATTGTAATTTTTGGGAGTGACAAAGAAATGTTTTTTAAGAAGAATGTTAACCGAAAATTAAAAGAACATCAGTAGTTTTTGTTTAGATCTTAGGAAGTACCAATGCTCCTTACATTTTATATTATTCGTTAAATAAATATAGAAATAATGTACTTTAAAGAAACAAATGAACTGTTATATTAAAATAATATACCATATAAATATTGCAGTTGATTAAGTTTAATTTATAATTTAATTAAAATATATTATTAACCCAAAACCTTGACTTTGTTGGAATCATTTTCCAAAGTCGAATTATTTTCTTAAATTTAATTTCAAGCTATTTTAGTAAAGGTTTTCCTGTTTGTAATATTAATTTTAAACACGATTTTAAAATATTCCTAATAAATTGATCTTTATAATTATGCACTTTTTAGAATTAATTTGATATTGCTCGAAGATCCTTATCCTTTTATATTACTCTCATCTTACATGTGCAAATAGGAAACTAATATAGTTACTATAATTTTTTCTCTCTGTGCAGTTAATTAGCAACGAACGTTTGTCGCCAGAGTCTCCTCAACCCCCCCACATAAAACAGCCCCTCCAAATTCCATCTCGAAAAGCGGAGCAAAGTGCGAGCCCCCAAAAAATCGAACCGCGAAGGCCCCAATCCTCTGCCGCAGCGCTGCTTGCGTCGCTGCCTAGACTTCGGCTTGCGACACGAAGGCATAGCCGAGCGTAGACGAAGGCGGAGGGACCACTTCGGCTGGCACGCTTGGCACTCGGCAGCTTGGCAGCGTTCAACGTTCAGCGTTTTTTCCAGTTCTCCTTCAGCTGCGCCGGCGAGCGGTGCGATTTTGAAAAACGCTCGAAAAGTGCTTTGGAAATTTCGAATTGCTGGCCAGGAAAATCACTTGTACTGCCCAGAGGAAATTCGCGCGGGATTTTCCACCACAGTTCGTGACAAAGATCGCTCGTTAGCCAGTAATTCCGGCGCAAAATATAGTTAAATTAATACAAAAACCAGCTCGTAAACACGGAATAAAAGTAATAATAATAAAAATTCTTATCAACGCGACGACAAGCGGGCCTAAGGCGGGCTTAGAATGATTCTCTGATATTTTCCGCTCCGACTTTCCGACTTTTTCTGCGTGTGCTAATGCGTCTATTTATTTGCACTTGCCGCTGGGAGCGTTTTCGTTTTCCAATTGGCGCGCAATTCCATTGAGCTTGCATTGGGATCGAAATCGAATGCAAATTGTGAATTGTGAGCGGTGAATTGCGCGAACTGTGAGTTGCACTTGCCAGCAAATTGAACCTTTGACGCGGACAACGTGGCGTATGCGTAATCTGTGGCAAGCGAATGTAAATTTAAATCAAAATCAGAATCAAAAGTAGAAATGAAAAGCGCGCGCCGGCTCAAATAATATTATGCCCAAGTGAGTTCCAAGTGTGTCTCCCCCCTGTCTCTCTCTCTCTCTCTGAAGCGCGAAAAAAATAAGAAAATAATAAAAAATAGACCCAGGCGAAAAAAGCAATTGAAAATGCGATTCATATCGGCCAGAATAACATCAGCGGCAGCAACAACAACAGCAACAAAATGATCGCGGGCAACATGTCAAGCATAATTAATTTTCGATTCCGCCGATCGTACTCCTCATCTGGAAATCTGGAAGTGTAATTACGGGTAAAGCTCCTCGCCACCACCTTACTTCCCTCTCTGTCTCTCTCTCTCCTTTGTAATTAATCTTTGCCTGGGCGCATTGTTATTGTTTTTGTTATTGTTATTGTTGCTGTTGTGGCCGCTCTTTGTTGCGATGATTTTGTTTTATTATAATGCGAAACATATAAACATTTCACTTATCTGTGTGTATCTGCGAACGTGTGTGCTATCTGCCTTTGTTGTTTCAACATTTTGCGAAAATTGTTTAATTGTTTGGATTCTATTATCACATTCGGCACTCGCCTGCTCGTTTCTTTTCTCTCACTCTCTCTCTCTGATTATTTCATTTTTAATTTCAAATTTATTATAATGAATATGGCAAATTGAAAGCCGATCAAATTACGAATAGGCAAACATATGTTCCGCGACTGGCAATTAATAAAGCAACATTTGCATAGAGTTTTTGCTAGACGGAAATCCTCAGTTGGCAACCAATGAATTCCAAAACTATTCAAGCATTTTAAATATGTATTAAATGGCCAGAACTTGGAGTGACTTTAAGCCTCTTAACAGACGTCAACTAAGTGAGCGATTAAACAGAGTTCTTTAGACTAGATATACCTATATGTATGCACACCTTATCTCTGCAGCCGGAGCTGAATGAATCACCCGGTGAGACATATTGTTTAACCAATTAGTAACGATGTGTCAAATATCGCCCAGTGATATATAGATAAACTGGCTGACTGTCAGACTTTGGCTGATAAATCACCAGCGGCAGCAGCTGCAACTGCAATCGCAATTGCAACTGCAACTGCAGCTTAAATTGCAGCTTGAATTGTCACTAAGCTAATCGCCGGCAATTTCCTGTATTACATTCCCATAACCATAAAAAGTATTATCCTCGGTAGGCAGGCCAAGAATAGGGAATACAATAAACTGGCTCATTAGGTGGACAGATGGAAGGGACGTAACGACAGGCGACTGGCAAAAGGACACGGCACACAAATACAAATTACGACTCCCGGGGCAAATGAAGATGGCAAAGACACAAGCCGAAACGCAAACAGAGGATACAATAAAGGGTGCACTGAAGTATAAGTTTTATTTCATTTTTAAAAATTATGATTTCTTTATTTTACATCTTAAAGATATAAGTATACTTCTTACAATGTAATAATTTATACCTTTAGTTGTGACATTGATACATTAGGAGTACGTTGTACTAATGCCAATCCATTTGAATATTTCAATGTTGAAAATAAACTTGTTGTCTTGATAAATTGCTTCAAATTAAGCGATACTTTATGTTAATTATAATTGAATAAAAATCTATTAAACGTATATATTTGCAAAAGAAATAAATTGACTTTCTTTACCATAGAAACTTATTTTGAATTATTCTAAAAACAAATTTACGTAGCTCTTTGAATTATTTAAATCAGTTTCCCTAAAAACATATTTTTGAATATTCCCTGTTTTTAATTTCATAACAAGCATAAGAATTAATATTCCTTTAAGTAAATAATAAATAATTGTTAAATAAACAATCTTCTGGCATTAATTAACTCCAAATATTTGTATCCTTACAATTCTTTCCTCCTCTTTTTTGCCGTGTAAGAAATGCTGGTAATAACTGCGCATTGCTGGGGGGATCCGTTGGATCTAGCGGAGGCGGGAGTGGGCTTAAGTTACATGGGTTAATATGAATGTGCGCCGGCATGTCCATGAAATGTCCGTAGAACAGACGTCTGACTAGCAGTTCGCGTACTCGGCTAAACAGGCGACACACCGGGCCGTGGATGACAGTCCCCATTCCCAATGCCATTCCCATTCCAGGTGCCCGATCCCCAACCCCATTCCCATCCCAATCCCTGATCCCTCCCTGCGTGGCAGTGGCAGGAGAAGGAGGAGCAGCAGCAGGAGGATGGGGCAACTGGCGGGCAGACTTTCCCGTACTGCCTAGGTGTCGCTTTTTGTTGTTGTCTCTCTGTTCGCTTTATAATAAAAATGCAACCATACCAGTTTTGCCAACTGACAGCGGCCAACACACACTGGCACACACACTCCGCACAACACACACTCGCAGGGGCCAACTCGTTTACCCCTTCTGCCCACCACCGTCAACATCCAACAGCCAATAACAACAACAGTAACAATAACAACATCAGTAACAACTGCAACTACACAACCACAACTACTATGGGGCTGCATGTGAATTTGGTTTCAAAACAAAAAAAAAAAAAACTACTATGTGTTAATATACCCTGGGATCAAGGGTAATTGCAGTGCCAGATAGTGTTTGCTTAGCAGTTCAGGATGTGCCAGGATGGGTTATTGATGGGATCTTGAGATTTAAAGTAAGTCAAATGAACCAAGGAGTCAATTAAGTTATATATATCTCATATAGTCTGAGCTAGAGCTACAAATTTAAAGGTGTCACTGTGGATTTTGGATGAAAAATATGCGAGTTGTTAAGCAATAAAGTAGTATTCCTCCTCTATCCTTGTATCTATCTCTATCACTCAGACTCCCCACAGTAAAAATGAAACATCCTTTCCTGAAAAATATACAATATCTACCCACTCTTAGAGCATTCATAAGCCACTATGATATTACCTGCGAATATAGTTCATGTAGCAACTCTCTTTTCGCTGCTGGCCACGACCACGTCCAGGTCCAGGTCCACGCACCTGTCCCGTCCAGAGCCATAGAGCCAGGCGGTCTGCGATCTGCGGTCTGCAATCTTCGGCGGGTCTTCAGGTCTGCTCCACTCGGCACTCTCCTCTCTCTTCACTCCACCACACTCAGAGTAGTACCCTGATCCCGTAGCGATCTAAAATCCGCACACTCACCTGGGCCCAAGCTGAACTGCAACTTGCAGGTGTTTTGTTTGTTTGCTACTTGATTATGCTGCCGTCTGTGGCACTGCCTGCATAATAATAATCCGGCAATTAAAATATGATCGCATAATAACTCGACACTCGTGCGTCTGGCCGTGATTTATGGTTCAGCTTTTGGCTTATTTATAGAGATGGTCCAGCTAGAGGCTTCGTCTTGCTACCCCCATTCCCCCTTGGAAGCCGAAGAACCAAAGAACGTAGGAATTCTTCCAGTGGGGTAACTACTTTTTCGGCCGCTCGCCGCATACCTTTGCATTCGCTTAAAGGTAAATTGCTGTCGCCAAGCGCCAGACGATGTGGTATCCCCAAACCGACGGCCCCCTTTTGAGCCCCCCTTATTATTATTTTTGTTATTTTTTTTTTTTTGTTTTGTGCTCTAACAAGCCGGCCTGGCTCGTTTCGTTTTGGCAAAACCCAAAACAGAAGACCGAAGACTCGGTCGAGCGAGCAAGCGATAGGACAGGAGACAACAGAAAAAAAAGAAGCGAAAAAATACAAAAAGACTGAGAAGCAAAAAGCTAAACATTTGATACGCTCCCCCTCCAGGGAAACCCCCGCCAGTGACACGGCCTGTCCGACTGTTGCTTCTAATAAATAATTTTAAATGCTGACTACAAAACGAAGCCGGGCGAGCGAAGTGAAGTTTAAGTGTAACCCAATAGCCAAGTCGCGTTCTTAATTGCCTGCGTGGGATGTGGGGCTGTGGGACATGTTGCTCCAGTGCCGAGAGTCTGTCTCTGTTTCGTATGATGTGGATGTGGATGTTGCTTTTGGTGTTTCTGCTGCTGCTGCTGCAGCTGTGCAAAGTGGGCCAAGTGCCCACTCCGGTGGGTCCAAAGTCTTGACACGCATTCGGGGGTAGTTTCCAATGAGTGTGTGTCTCTCTGCCAGCCTCTGTTTCCCATTTTCATTTCCATTTCCATATGGTCAGTTCCTGAGGAAAAAAATGTGGAAATTTGAAAGATCAATAAAGCTGAAACATCTTCACAATTAAATAACTTTTAAAGTTAATTGCAATTAGTTTCTTATAAAATTTAGGAAAAATATAGCTTTCAAATGGGGGATGTACTCTAAATTATTTAAAAAACATCCTAAGAATTTTTCCCAAATTTTTCTCTAAACTTTCCTTTTAAACTTCTATGGAAAACCCCATATCCCTTACCCCCTCAGATGGATGGATGGCTTATGACGTCAGCCTCTTTGTCGCCATATGTCCATGTGTGTAATATGTGTGATGTGAGAAAAAGCATGCGTCATCGCAGCTTTTCTGTCTGTCGATTGCAATTTCACCAGCCCCCCAGACGACGACAACGACGACGTCGATTTAGAAGGAATCCAAGGGGTCCCAAGGCATGGCAGTTGGGGGTAGTTCTGCGTCACACACTCACAAACACACACTCGATGATAATTTCGCCTTGACACGCAAAACACAAACACCTAAGCACACAGAACGTACCCATATAGCCGTCGTACCCTTTTGTTGCTCTCGTACAATACTATACAATCAGAGAAACTAATTAATATTTGCCGAACAATACACGGCTAATAAAAATTCCGCTGATAAGATATTAAAAATAGACATTCAGCCCCATACTCCCTTCCCATTCATATCTCCCAGTGTCCGCAGTGCTCGTAGTGCTCGTAGTGCTCGTAGTGGTTGTGCCAGACTAAACGGCGTGTACTCTGCCGATTAGTGGAGTATTTCAGGGGGGTTATAAAAATGTATATAATGTTGACAGGGCTTGCAAAAATCTGGCAAAATAACACCCACATAATGGGGGAGTTTTATGTTGGTTGCAAGCAGCTATTTGTGGAATTAAACCCTCTGGGTAAGAGTCATAAAAATATATAATACAGCTGGAGGACTTGCCTTGAACAAGAACCTCCTTTAAATCAGGTTAATATCCTTGTTTATCAGACTTTTATATTATATAGTTTATAATAATTAAATTAAAGTGTTTTTAAAAGATAAAAGATTGTTCTGTCGAGTCTTATGTCTTTCATAAAACATTTTCAACATTTAAATTGATTTCGTTTCACCATTTATTTCATTTAATTTTTAATGAATTCTAAAAAAAAAGCAATGTATACAATTTATTTATATTTTCTCAGTTATTTATA